CACTTGCGTTTGTATAAAAAACAAGAGAGGCGAGGGAGAGAACGAGCAAGACTCACCAGGAGAGAGGTGAAATAGCAACAATTTGCTATGAAGTACAATTAAATCAAACTATATTTATAGCATTTAATTTGAATTAATAGTTTGCTATTATATACAATTTTCCCTTTCTTAAATAGGATCCAAAAATCATAGTTCAACACTATCAAATCACGGATTAGGCCAGACCGACCTAACGGACCTGACCCATGTTGACAACTCTACCTGTTAGTCAAGTTTTTAGGAAGTCAAGGGTATATTTTATTTTAAAAAAATAAAATAAAATTCAGAGAATTGATGTACTTGATTATGTTTTTAGGGTGATAATTTTTCTTTGAGTTATAGCATAAATCGAAGAAAAAAACCTCTTTTTTTATTTTATTTTTTTTATAAACGCAAAATTAATGCTCTAATATTGATTTTTAAGAAAACGCTAAATTGGGTGTTGTTAATTTAGTAATTTTCTTCTTTGATCGAAATAAACGTATTCGCACGTGGTGAGTCATGGTTAATGATCTAATATGTACTTCTTCAATATAGTTGTCCACTATTAACTTACACCTCTTAAAAAATAATAAATAATAAGAATAAATTTAATATATTATATTATACTTTAAATATGTTAAATTTAATACTTTGGGAAATATATTAGATACTCATTGAATAACATTTAATATCAAAGGGGAAATAAACACAAAAAGATAAATTATCCCTTAATTTTCCAAACTGAATTATTATTATTGGATAATTATTTTTAATATGATGGATAAGTAAAAATAAACGGAGGAAATATTTTGTTGCTACCAACATTTCTTTTCCTTTTATCTTTTTTTTTCAAGTAAAGTTGGACTGCGTGCGAATGACTGTTTGACTTGGATAGCTACAAAGATCAGTTATCTAATTCAGCAGATGCGCTAATTCACTTATATACATGTCTAAAAATAAGAAAGGAACAAAAAAAGAAAGAAAGAGAAGGAATGTTTCTATTTTAAGTTTTTAATAAGCTGCTCATAATTCTCGTGTTTCATTTTTTCCAACAAAAATAGAATTGTATATATGTGTAATCTAGGAAAAAATTATGCTATATAAATTGTCAAATATTTTAATGATTATGGTATGTTGGATAAGTTTTTAGGGAGTTAAAAAATATATTTTAAAAGAAATTGTTTTAGAGAACTGATGTGTTTGATCCTGTCTTTAAGATGACAATTTTTTTTGAGTTGTAATATATATAATAAACCAAAAAGTATTTTTGAAACTTTAATTTGGTCAAACACAAATTGATGCTTTAATATTGATAGAAATATTTTTAAGTTAATTAGCTCAAAACAAATTTAAAATAGAAACTCAAGGTTAGCCGGTTTGGCCAAACGTTTGAGAGTTTAAAGTACTTATAAAATAGTAAGGTGTTTCGTTTAGTTTTTGAGAGAAAATAAGTGTTTCTGGGAAGCAATAAAAATTATTTTTTAGAAGTTTAAAATAAAACGCAAAAACAATTTTTTGAAGTACACTATTGAAAAAATACACTTAGAAACACTTTGAAAAGAACTTGATAAAATTTAATTATTGTTCAAAAGTATTTTTAAATTGATTGCTCAAACACAAATTAATTATCGCTAAAAGTACTTTAAAATTATTTTTCAAAATAAACTGATTTTAGAACTCGACTAAACAAGCTATAAATTCAGTATTTGGAGTTTAGTAATTTTTTTATTTTTTTTTTGAGATCCGTTTCATCTAAAAAGTAGCATGCAAAAATGATTTGCTAAATGGATAATGAATAGACTCGAATGCAGAATCTGAAAAATAATATGTTACTAATAGTTAATGAAGAGAATCAAATATAGAATCTCTTAATGTTCTAATATAAATTAAATTATGTGAATGACCTTATTTAAAAATAAAGTTATCAGAAAAATGAAATCATTGTTATTTGTTTTAGCCTTTTGATCTTCAAATCAAAATGAAGTGTTATTGCTTTTGTGAACCTTCTTGTGTTTTTCTTAATCCTCTTTGCCTTTTGCACTTTTAAATTTTAGTCTCACTGTCCTTTTCATGAACATTAACTAAAGAACTAAGTACTACTTAACTTTGAAAAAAGAAAGAACTAAAAATCCCCTAATATCATATAATATGAACTTAATACTATAAGGTTCACCTGTCGACTTCAACTAGTCCTTAGAAAATACCTGAGACAAAATAGAATCACTCATACTATATACAACAATAAATTCTAAGCGAAATCTGAAAAGGATAAAGTGTACGCAGACCTTATCTCTATTTTTATTAGATAAAAAATTATTTCGAATAGATTCTTAATTTTCAGAACATGATTTAAGAAGTAAAAAAGAGAAAAAGAAAAAAAAATTATGATTAAAATATTAGATATAATCAAAGTAGATTAATCACTTATACTATGTGGAGGAGTAACTAATTAAAAAGATAAGATCTCTCTTCTTTTGTTGTTCATAATATTATAATACTTAGTTGTGATAGAGAAATCTGAATTTAATACAGTAAAAAAGATTTGAGGAATTATAATACTGGTTTAAAGTATTCCACCATATCTTCACCTAAACCTAAACTCCATTATTGCCAATTCATTAATCATTTAATATAAGCAACTTGCACTTGTTATGTTGTTTTTATGCGTATAAAACTAGTTAACTACCAAATTTCCAGCTGTCTAGATCAATAATCTGATGAACAGAATAATGTCAAATAATTAAGGGAAATTTTCGCATAGCTCAAAAATAATTTAATTATGCTCCATAACTATAATTTGCTACTTACGATTCATAGCTATATGTTAGAGGAAGAGAGAGGCGGGTGATATTGGGAGAGGGAGGAGAGAGGGGAACTGTACATGTATATATGTCGAATTGTATATGTATATCTGTCAAATAATTGTATAAATGTAACTGGTATGCATATGTATTTGTATATCTGGCGAACGAGATTGGGAGAGGGAGGATAGGCGATCGAGATTAGGAGAGGGAGGAGAGAGGCGAACAGTACATGTATATATGTCGATTGTATATGTATATCTGTCAAATAATTATATATATGTAACTGGTATACATATGTATTTGTATATCTGGCGAGCGGGATTTGGAGAGGGAGGAGAGGCGAACTGTATATGTATATTTGTCAGATAATTGTATATATGTAACTGGTATACATATGTATTTGTATATCTGGCGAGCGAGATTGGGAGAGGGAGGAGAGAGGCGAGCGAAAGAGGACAGAGAGTGGAGAGGGACTAGTTGTATTTGTATATCTGTCATATAATTATATATATATATATATATATATATATGTATAATTTATATTTGTATATGTATAAAAGAGGAGAGAGGCTACGTAATTACAACTAAAATTAAGCTGCGAGTCGCAATTAGTTCAAACTGTAGATATGTTAGCTAATTAATTAGTAGTATATGTTTACTTATCCGCATAATTTCCCTAATAATTAATCACCAAAGAGTCCCAAATTATCTCCTTTTTTCAAAAATAGAAAAATAAAAAATTGCGAAGCTGGACACCCTAAAAAGGCACGCACTTTATCCTAAAAGGCATCTTCAAAGTAATTTTTCTATCATTACCTTCACTTCAACTTTAATAAATTTAAGAGAATAATAATTGATGAGAGTTACATATCACTTAGAAATGTGGTGGGATGCACCTCGAGTTCGAGTCTTGAATTAAAATAGTCATAGTAAAAAGTATTTTATCTTTTAATAGGCCCTACTCAATAAAATCTAAATTAGTTGGATTAGTTGGGATGATTATACCCCTCAATTTTGTCATTTAGATTTGATAAATCTCTCGTTACGAAAGTGGTTCACATATACCCCTAATGTTATACAAATGGCTCACATATACCTTTTCCTCCAACGGAAGTGAAAAAAATAATTTTAATTTAATTTTTTAATTATTCTTTTGAAAAAAAATAAATCTACATGGGTATATGGATTATACCCCACACATATTTTTTTTGACTTTTTTGTTTCAACGACTAATTTAAATTTATTATTTTGATGGTCAAATTTATTTATGTTTCACTAATTTCTTGTAAAATTTATTATAGATGCCCCATTTTTTATTATTTTTTATTTTTATAAATACAAAAACTAAATTACAATATAGCCGCAAAAAAGAAGAAGTTAGTTTAAATTATTTTTTTACACTAAAGAATGAAAGAGAAAAAGAAGAAGAAGAAACTCGAATAATGATAATCAAAGAAGTCTAAAATAATTTTGTGAAAAAGATTAAAATATATCTTGAACTTTGCTAGAAGGATCATATATATATCCCTACATGATTTATTTTTTAAAATTTAAAGTCAAAAAAATAAATTTAAAACTATTCTTTCAGTTCCGTTAGATGAAGGGTATATGTGAGTTCCTTTTGTAATGGTAAGGGTATATGTGAGTCATTTGTATAACGGTAAGAATATATATGAGCCACTTTCATAACGAGGGATATATCAGTTCTAAATGGCAAAGTTAAAAAATATATCAGGCTCCTTTCCCAAAAAAGAAAAATAAACTCCAGTGGAAGTTAAATTTTGATGTCCATGTACAAGAGTAAATTATGTTAGTACAACTGTAAGAGCATCCTGCAGAGGAGAATTGTGATTGATCATAGCAACCTTATATTTATGATACAATACAATACATTATGAAACTATATGTAATACTAATATTTTTTTTTATTTTGTTTTGTAATCCTCGTTATATACCATCATCATAATTCATAACTACGGAAATTACTTTAACCTCTCACACACAAAAATAGAGGAAATGATTTCTTATGACCACTTCCAAATTTAATAGAAGAAAATTCCATTTTCAAATCTTATGTATAAAAATGCCGATCTCTTATATGTAAAAATAAAAATATCTCATAAAAAGTACATAAAACTAAATAACAAGTTTGTAGAGTGCAACAAAACCAAAGAATCAATCAAGAAAGCAACATAATGTATGTGATTGTTCATCAATTAAGGAAGGGACTTCACAATTTTCTCTTATATACATACAAGCAAGAGTTGAAAGACAAGGATCCAGGAATAGAGAGGATTGAAAAATTACATGAAAAAATTAATTTCACATTTTGAGAAGAAAAATAGCCTAAGTATATCTGTTAATCTGCAGGCAATAGTATTGAAAATTCAATAGCTTTATCATAGAATTTCTTCTCAACCATCCACAGAAAAGAGAGCTTCTATTATACTGAATCAACTCCTTCAACCTGTTGCCTCGCGAGATACCTTTCCCTTCTTTCTTTCTGAAACAGTACAAACAGAAGTCATGTTTGGCAATTGATTTTGATACTTTTACATGATTCAAAGCGCGAAACTGAATAGTTTTACTAAAGTTCCTGGTTTATGTTACTAAAGTGTTTTCTTTTTTCATTATGGTAATGCAATGCAAGAGGTTAGAGATCAAGTTGTTTCTGATGATGAAAAGAGGATCTTCTAGCCTTGTATTACTACAAACAACTAATACTATGACAATGCCTTGACCTCCATATTCTTGCCTTGTATTGCAATAGAAAATTTATTAATTTAGGCTCCACTTGTAGCTATTTCATCATTTCCTTGGTGGTTTGGAATGAGGCGCGTTATATAATTTTATTAATCGAGTTGTAGTAAATCAAAATAGCATTTTAAGAGGTCAAAAGGCAACAAGAGAAGTTTCTACTATGCATTTGATTTGGAACATAATGTCTGAGCATTGAACATAAGAACTTAGTGTAGTGGCAAGGCAACTTACCCATTCGTCTATAACAAGACCTTCCCCGACAATCTTTGGACCTGTATCTTCTGGAGGCCTTTTGCGTGCCTCGACCTCAGCCTCAGCTTCAGCTAGCTGGCGGTTAAGTTTCTCGAGTGCCTAAGAAAAATGAGCCATGAAATCCTTAGAGCCATTTTCACATAAACCTTAGACAATTACATTAATTGAAACAGACTGCGGAAAAAATCTGATTCAACTAATGAGCAAACTTGGTAGAGAAAACCTACTTACAGGGCAAGGGCGTTCAGCATCAAGGAAAACAACACCTAATACTTGTTCAACTGCCACTTCATCCCTCCTTTCGTCAAACTGATCCAAATCATCGTTAGCACGAATGCAAGCATTAGGAGGTTCAAAGGTCTAATTCTTTAACGAGTTAAAGGAGAGGGGTGCACAAAAGGATGTAGAAATAAATTGCATTAAAAAATGAAAAAAGTATAAAAGTACAGGCAACCGGGGCTGATTTCCCTTCAAGGATAGGCTATTTTTCATGTGGAACGGTTCACATAGTAACCAATGAATATAGGTGCTCTCATCTCTATCTATACACTGTAGCAAACATGACATGTTTTAAATCCGTACCAAACTTCCGTTGATATAGATCATAAAATCCAGTTATTAAACTAATTGGTACGCTGGTGAGTTGATTTGAAGAACTGATCTAAAGAGGACACACAATACGTGCACATGAACAGAGTCTTGAGGTGACCACGGCAAATCCTCTCAACCTCTCAGTGACATTTTTAAAGAGCATAAACAGCATTCAACTACAAGGAGATAGTGGCAACAACAACATTTCAGTGCCTTATCTATATATATATATATATATATATATATATATATATATATTTTATATTTTCAAAAATAAGATGAAAGTAATATACTCTTTTAGGAATCAGAAGTTCATATCATCATGGGAGGCCACTACTCTTTATTAGTGGACGGTTTACTTTCTAGTTTATTCTATATACTGGATAGTCCTGGTGGCACGAAAACTGTAGTTATAGCATGTTTTCATTAACATCAAAAGAAAAAGGAAAAGAAATGAGAAAAGACGCGTGTTAAATGGAAGTACCTTAAAAGGAGAAGAGTTGTTAAGTAAGAAGTACTGATAGGAGATAAAGAAGATCAATGATTTGATGTTATTCTAAGTAAGCTTTAGAGGAAACTAATCACAGTGTAAACAAGAAATGTGTCACTTCCGGTATGACCCTGAACAGGTTTTTATCGAAGGACTTAAGGATTGGATGGCTCAAGGCACAATCTGTTTGTTATTCAAAATATTGTTCTAAGTGATTCTACATTTCCATCACACATATGATTGATTCTCTTTTTATTATTTTCCTTCTTTTTTGGACTTCTACTTATTAGATCAAATATATAGGATACTCAGTTTCCTGTCCAGCTAAAAAATAAAAGAAGAATAATGAAAATTGCAGATATCTACTCCAAAAAAGCTATATGAATCACAGCGATGAATAAAAATAAAGTTCCTAAAAGTCAAGATTGGATTTGAGCAGGTTATTCACATTCATGAGAGAATACATCTGTTCACTCATAGAGGGGCAAACCATTATTTAGCACTTACCAGCTCCGGCACATAATCCACATCGTCTTTTACTTTTAAGCTCATGACTTTGAACTTAACCCTGCTTTTCTTGCCAACTTGTTTCTCGTTATTATCAGGTGGCTCGACGAATTTGAAAACTGTTAATTAAGCATGGAGTTAGCACAGTAAAATAGCAATAAGCAACTATTTTCATTAAACATCACAATTCACACAGGAGGACATGAAAGGCCAAGTGGAGATGTTACCAGTTGCAATGAGGCTTTCATCAGGAGCAAGAACACCTCCTGGCGGCCGCATGTAACAACTTTTTGGCCCAGTTGTTTGAAACTGAGATAGCACAATCAAGTAAAATTAGAGAACATGTCTGAATACCAACAGTATACTGATAAATATTACAAATAGAACTTGAAACAAGCATAGAAAGGGCAACTACACTGTCAAATCTTCTTATGCTGGTCATGAACAAGTTAATCTATGGCCTTGGAAACAAATATGGAAAGTAAAGTTTCTAACAAGGTGCTTATCACTAAAGAAGCCGAATGACCAGAGATCATTTGAAGAGCAAGGGGACTCGGCTATGCTCAAGACGTTATTCATGTGGGAAGGAGACGGAAAACAATAGTCATCTTATTTTGCATTGTGAAGTGATGGATCATCTTTTGAATATGAAGGAATTAAATGGAATTCTGGAATAGCTCGGGCAGAATTGTCAGACAGAAGAGTAGGTGGAAAACTATTACTGCATATATAAGGTAGATTATTTAGAAGGAAAGAAATACGAGATGCTTTGAGGATAGATTTAGCTCTATTCAGAAGATTAAGATGAACTGTTTACTGTTACTTCACTTTTGGTGTAGACAGGAATTCTAGATGATTCAGAATCAATCTTAGATGTTATAGAATAAGAAGAATAAGGCAACTGTTTTTGTGTTCTGAATTGTAAATGTGGCATTCCACACTGCCTTTGTGTTAATGATGTTATTTGTGTGATTTGTGTGGAGGACACGAGAAGTGGACACAAGCTATGCATGTAGTATGGTTTCTGCGAGCTGTTGATTCTGTGCAGATTTAAGTTTGTCGTATACAAAAGTTGTTACCTTTATCCAAAAAATTTTTTGCAAATATGAGTCTTCTCAGGAAAAGAAGAAATGCAATTGAACTGAGAGTTATTAGTGTAACAAAAAAAAGGAGAAAATTTCTGTAATAAGGCAACTATTAACAACAACAACAAACTCAGTGTAATCCCACAGGTTGGGTTTGGGTAGGGCAATGAGTACACAGCCTTACCCCTACCTTGACCCTGTGAATGTAGAGAGGTTGTTTCCGATAACCTTTGGCTCAAAGCAACTAACTTATATTAATTAAGAAATGGTTGATCTTGTTTTAATACAATATATTATAAATAGACAAATTAGCTGTGGGAGATCCAATTTCACTATCCATAGATCTCATAATAATGGTGTTGCCCACTAACCACAATTCATCATCTTTTAATCCTCAACATGCAGAATTACTCTTAAATTAACAAAAAAAGAAGGCCTAATTTTAAACAGATTGTCTTTAAAGCATTAGTACTATCAACCAACTCAGAAAAAGTTGGCCTAGTGAGGAATTAAAGTGACTTGTTGCACTAATCATGGAGATTATGAAATTGACATAATGAGTATTAAGTACTAAGCACATTTCACATCAGCAAAAAATAAAATATCAACTATTAGGACCACCAAAACAAGAAAATTGAGGCTAGAGTAATTATGTACCTTGAAGGCCACATGATTCTTGGTAATGTTCTTGATTCTAATAGCACTCTTGACTTGTTTACCAGGCTCATCTACAAAAGGGAAAAAACAGAATAAGCATAATCCAATAATAAGTAAATATAGATATGAAAAGAAACAAATACCTTAAGACATAAGAATTATTACTACTACTAAAAATAGTCAAGTTTCATCCAATATAATAGAACAGAACAAAATTACAACAATTTAGTTAATACTAGGCCATTACATTTCATAAACTTATACTCCTGGTGAAGTAGCTATGAAATAAATAAATCCATTACAGTAAACATAAAAGTAATGCATGAAACTTTCTTTCTATTAAATCCAAATTAAGACAAAAAATTGCAATAGAAAAAGTACTCCCTTAGTTTCAATTTCAGTGTCTTAGTTTGACTAGTTACTTAACTTAGAAGGCATCAAATTTTTTCACTTATTTTCCGAAGTTCAACCACGTTCGAACATAAGGTGTTTTCACTTTTTTCACTCCAAATTACTCACAAAAAGTCGAAAACAATTCCTATTTGTACCAGTCAAACACAACTCCAATTTTCAAACATCACTTTTCATTTTGAAATCAATTTTTTTCTTTTTTCAAATTTCACAATCAAACATGGTCAAACGTCCGCTTAAGAAAATAAGTGGAGAACTTTTGAATCTCATGATCATAAACTAAAAATATCTGTAACTACCAAAAATGCCCTTTGAATCTTGTCATCTTGAACATTAGAGAGTTACTAAAGATAGAAAAAGACATCCTTTTTTAATTAAAAAAAAAAAACACACATAAACTGAAACGGTGGGAGTACAAAATTACTCAATTATCTACGTTATAAGAAATCAACAAATCATGCCATATGAAAATGTGTAGCATGATCTAATTTCATAACAAACAATTAGATGGGTATATCGACAAAAAAAGTAAGAAAATCAACAAAAAGTGATGAACATACATGGAAAGTAAAGCTTGTTTTGTGGATCAAGGCTGAGCTTGCGACGAGTTGGAAGAAGTGATTTGGCTACAGAAGAAACCTTAAGAGGAGCATGAATATTAGAGTGATGATCCACAGAAATGCCATTATGGTGTTGCCTAAAAGATGAAGAAGAAGAAGCAATAGAAGAGGAAGAAGCAGCCACAGAGCTACTAGTTGAATGCCAAAATGGTAGTTTACAAAGACCCCAAATTTTGCCATCAGATACAGATTTTTCATTAGCAAGTGCCATTGTTGTGCTTTCTCTGTTGAGCACTTTTTGGTTTTCTGGTAGTAGTAGTACTAGCCAATTTTTAGGAGCAATTTAGGGAGTGGTG